CCAGAGCTGTAGAAAAGGTGCCAGTTCTAAATCCTAATGATTAACCACGATGAAAAATGAGCCCCTAAACGCTGACTGTACATGAATATTACATATGTAAGTATAGCAAATATCAGTAGACAATTATGATTTTTGCAATGCTGGGACTGAATTCGGGGCTTCACCAATGCTAGGCAAGTGCTCTCCAGTGCGGCTATGTACTCATTCCTTGTACTGAATTAGCTTACGACCACAGCCTAACATAAACCGTGGTAAGTATTCATATCAGTGGTGTTTTTAAGAGGTCTTTATCCCTCCTTTACTGATTTATAGAAATGTTACCTGGAACACATGTTGGATAATGGTAACAAACTCCATCTGGGTCTGTAGGCTTTGTTGAATGATTTTTATCTTGTCTGATTTTTCCATACTGTCCAGCACCTTTCTCAGGTTTTTTATTCTAAGTTTATAGTTTTAGAAGCTTACTTTCTGAAGCATGTTTTAATTCTGTTAGGGTAAAATAAAACAGTATATTATATGTGAGAATTCTATAAAAATGATCTTGAAAAAGCAAGCAGCAGAATATTTCCTAATTATTTCAGACAGCAGAAAAATCTGAGTTAATAGCAGCTAGGTTGTACATTCTATTTTGACCTGAAAATGACTCCCCAGACTTTTTGGCAGCGCAGATCAAATCCAGGAGTGCCTTTGCACTTCCCTTCTTCATGCCTACACCATCACTCCGTTTCATTTTTCTGCAGTGCTGGGGACTTCACCTTGGGCCTTCAAAGGAGGCTACTTTCTCAGCACTGTTGTATTTGGAGACAGGGTCTTCCCAAATTGCCTAGGGTGGGTTTGAAGTAGGGATCCTTCTACCTCAGCTTTCCCGAGGGCTGGGATTACAGGTGTGTGCCACCGCAGCTGGGTCCAGTTTAATTTGTTCATTTTGAGACAGGCTCTGGCTACATTGCTGAGACTGGCCTCAAACTTTTTGATTTTCCACCTCTACCTCCTAAACACCTTGGATTAAGGCATTGCCACTAATCCCACTTATAATATTTTAATTCCCTCAGTGAAATGATCAGGACATTTACGTGTGATCATGACAGCTGTCTATAAGTGCTGCAAGTGGCATCATGTAAAACAGAACTTGCTCTAAGTTCCCAGAAGAACAGTTTGGAGATATACATAAAAAGAAGCTCCTGCTTATGACTCTCAGCTAAATCCCCAGCCCCTCCTGAACCTCAATTTTCTGTTATTTGTAAGAAATAGTATTTTACTGTGAAGGTAAAGTGTGATAAATGCAATGATCTCATTGTGAAGGGAATGTATGAACAGTCCTTGTCCAAACATAGTACGTCCAGTTGGTCTTCCTTTTTTTTTTTCCCGGTACTGGGGACCGAACTCAGGACTGCCTGCTTGCAAGGCAGGTGCTTATGACGCTGAGCTAAATCCCCAGCCCAGTTAGTCTTGCAAAGTGTGAAATTAATAAGCTCTACTGTTTTGTTTTTGAGACCAATATTGCTATATAGTCCAAACTGGAGTGGAACCTACCATATATTCCAGGATGGCCTTAAAATTGGGGTGCCACAGCCTTCTGGCCACAGGGATTACAGGCATGTATAACCACACCCAATTGAAACTAACAGTTTTTAATAAATTGTGTTTTTAAAGCGGGGATTTCGCCTGCCTCACAAGTGGCTAGGTCATGAGTTTGATCCCTGGTACCAAAAACAAAAACATACTGTGTTTTTAAAAGTCTATGTTTAGCTGACTGTGTTGGTACCCTACACTACATAGCAGCACCCAGTCTCCAAAAAAAGGGTATGTTTAGCCAAGTGTGTAGTGCATCCCAGTAATCCAAGCACTTGGGAGGCTGAGGCAAAGAATTGCAAATTCAAGCCCAGTTCAGGCAATTCAGCAAGACCCTGTCTCAAAAATACATGGGTTGGAGATGTGGCTCAGTGCAGAGGATCTGGGTGTAATCCCCAGTACCACTAAAGGGAGGGAGGGGGGAGTATGTATATTCCTATCCCATAGCTTAGTCTTTGCTGGGTGCAGCTTTAAATCCTCTTAATGCCATATAGGTAAACACTAGGCTGGGCATGTGACTATTCCTAGGTGGTGAACAAATGCCTCTAGGGATAGAACAAATAGAATTTACAAGTGAAGATCATGAACTGAGTGGTATATGTGCTTCTACTCCCAACTCTGAAAGCCTGAAGCAGGAGGATCCCAAATTCTATCCTAGTTTGAGCAATTTATTTTATGATCCCCAGACTAAAACTTTAAAAAAAAAATAAAAGGCTGGGTATGTAGCTCAGTGTAACAGCTCTGAGTTCAGTCTCCAGTACCACAAAGTAAATAACATTTAAAAATTTTTTAAACTGCTGTAGCAAACTGTGGATCTGAGTTACTTTCTAGCATTTCAGGAGGCAAAGGGAGAAGAACTGTGTGAGGTTGAGGCCTGCCGGGGCTACAAGAATGAGTTCAAGGCCAGCCTAAACTACACAGTGAGACCTTGTCTCAAAAACAGGAAAAGAAAGTCTATCTCTGCTGGTCTTTCAGGTCACATCCATTGTCTATTTACTTAGGTTGCACTGGCTGAGCTGCTGATGAACTTCCACATTCCGGATTATGTCCTTATGGTTAATACATTGTGTCAATTTGAGCAGTTTAGAAGTGTGAGAGACTCAGCAGGGAGGCAGGGTCCTTACTTTGTAAATATCCTCATCCTGAGCAAAGGAGGGCAGGGAGATGTCCTGAGCGCTACACCAGCCCTGGGTGCGGGCCTGGCCTGTGTACCATATAAACCAGGAGAAAAGGCTTGTTTTCTTCCTTTTTGTTCTGGCTGCTGCCTTGAAGTGTTGCCCCAGTGCCATGGCACCCTGCCTTGGACCCCGCTGAGTATGGACTGAAACCTCCAAAAACTAAGAAATAAACTTTTTTTCCCCCCTTCACATTAGGCATTAGGTATTCTGGTCTCAACAACAAGATAAAAAGTAACCAAGACACTAGCCATGGGCAAAGAATAGATTCATTCTTTATTGTAGTTCCTTAGTTTTACAAGTGGAGAAAAGCATTTGGCTAAATTGGATAGTTCCTTTATTCTACCACTTTGGATATGATTAGAATATTAGCTGTAATTACTCCGGGAGATTACCATGGATTTACACATGCTTTGCTCTCCTCTACTAACCCTTCCTTTATGCAGGTTACAGTTGGGAAAATTCTTAATGTGTCAGTCTTTCACAAAGATGCTTCAGATTTGTTGGGAGAATCTTCTTACCTTTTCATGGTTTTTGATAAAAAAAAAAAAAAAAAAAAAAAAAAAAAAGTCTTCCCAGAGTGGTGGCTAACAAACAGGTTTTGGAGTTACAGTTCTTTGTTGCATGGTCACGCCCCCTTCCTTGGACTAGGATGGCTGATTACAGGGCAAGGAAGAAAGGAAAAGGGGAAAGAATGAGAGAGGAGTGGGTAGGTAAGAGAAAAAGAGAAAGGAAAAGTGTAAGTTGCGTGTCCTGGACAAGGGTGAAGGGTATGAGGGCGGCCAGGCTACAAGGCTCCGGGCACAAAGAAACAAGCAGCAGTGCTAGTATCTCTCCATTTCCCTCTTGCTGCCACCACGCCCTGTGGAGGTGGAGCCCTCTGCTTTACAGATGGCCTCCCTGGTTTAGGCTGTGACTGCTTGAAGCCCACAGATGGCATCAGAGCCTGATCTAATGTACTTGTGTTTTTACGGTGTTAGGCCTTTTATTTTTTATTTGAAGTCAGAATCTCAGTTGCCTCAGATGAGTTTGATGTTGCAGGCCTGCCTCGGCCTCCTAAAGTGTGGAGATTATAAGCATGTGCTGAGCCACACCCTGATTTTAAATCCAGCTCTTTCATTTACAGTACAGTGTAGGAAACCTTTTGGCAACTTTTTTTGGGGGGGCAACATTTTTGATTGAGGCCTGATGCAAATGGGGAAGATTTTGGTACCAACAAAACAAAATAAGCAACGGGTAGATATGCCGATGGGGAAGAAAGAAGTCCCAGTTTATGAAGCTCCTTTCTACTATCCCTCCTGGTCCTAAGGTCCTTTGCAGAGCCTCTGGAACTTCCCTGCCTCTCCACTTCCCAAGCCTGGAAATGTTAGTAACTCCACCGTGTTAGGCATATCAGCTTGCCCAAAGTAAACTGATGTGATGCCCCCACCAACCTCAAAGGTGCACTACACCCTTAAAGCTGCGCAGCTAAAACCTCTGGTTCTTCTTTCATAATACACAGCCACCCTATTCACAAGATTTAGAGTAAAACCACCTCACCATCTGCACTGCTTTCAGCTGCCACATGCTCGTCTTGGAGTCCCCCTATCCACACCGAGGTGCTTCTGCCTCAGGGCCTTTGCACTCCCAGCCCCTCTGTCTCCACAGCTCTTTCCCCAGGTAGGAGTGTGGTGAACATTTTACTTCACTGGACTATGGCTTGCCTGCTGTCCTGAAGACTTCCTCCAACCACCTTTATTTTGAACTGCAACCCTTTCCTTCTCCAATCTTAATTTCTCTCAGCAGCACCATCCTTACAGAGCATAGTGGGCACAGTGCGCTCTTCTGGATCACTGTCCCTAACGCGCAATTCCAAGTCCAAAGTGTTTTTCTGGTTAGATTTCATTGCTGTTTCCTCAGTGGCTCCAGAGGTTTCAAGCGCAAAGTCGGAGCTTAATAAATCCTGTGAGCTGAACAGGCGCAGTCAGCCTCTTTCGTTGAAATCTTTTAGAAATCAAATCAGTCTCCTCCAACCGGCCCCAGCGGAGCGCGGCTACCGCTGCCCAGCCGACTCAGCTGGCCCCGCCGCTTCCCTGCCTGCACCCTGCTCTGGCAGCTGCTGTCCGCGGCAGCCGGAACGTTTCTGCCAGGCTGCAGCGCTCTGCGGAAGAGCTTCAGCGGCGCGCTTCTAGGCGGGCGGCGCTTCCGGCGGAGAGTCGTTCGCGCCGGGCCGGTGAGTCCGCTGGTGCAGCTAAGGTGTGCCCTGGCCCGGCGGCGGGAGGTTGGGCGAGACGCCTGGGAGGCTGTCGGGCGGAGGACCGGCCGACTTGGCCTGGCTGGCCCAGTAGGGAAGGACTGTGGCAGGGAGCGCGGAAGGTGGCGAAGGACGCGCAGGGCCGCGAACGCGGACGTGGTTCAGCCTGGGGCTGGAATGGTGGTCGGGGTGCGAGCCCTCTTCTGGGCTGGCTCTGTGGAAGCGGTTGAGTTGCCCACCCCAGAGCCCTGAGTTCGCACTTGGCGGGCAGGCCCAGGGCTCACTTGCCTGTTTTATCAGCAAATGCCTCCATGAGGGCGGTGCTGGTTGCAGCTCAGGTTTCGATCTCGTCCAACAAAATAACTGAACACTATGTGTCCTTTTTTTTGTTTTTGTTTTTGATGTGCAGGATAAATACTGAAAATAGGACAGTGTTTAGTCACTGTATATTACGTTACCATGTGCGGAATAGCACAGATGTTAAAATTATTGTCATTTGTAGTTTTTCAGGTTGTTACAGCAGATCACCAAATTTCCTGAAAGAAATTAATTTCTTACAAAGACAGTGTGTGGTTTGTTAGTTCAGTGGAAAATGTTCGGAATTTTAGCTAATAACATCTGGTCATAAGGTGTCACAAAAAATGATACCTTAGCAGTAGTCTCCAACTTATCAGTGGATTTTAATTACACAAGTGCATTTATAGGTCGCCTCTTTAAAGTATTTTCTATAAAAGCATGATACAAATGGAGGGTAAAATATCGGTTATGATCCTTATCTATATATACAGAGTCTGCTAAAAGTACGTGTACACATGTAAGGAAGAGAAAAAGTTGTAAGTTAGCTGTGGTGGCGCACACATCTTAATCCCAGCGTTCTGGAGGCTGAAGCAGGAGGATCATTGCAAGTTCCAGACCAACCTGGGCTACAAAGGGAGCTGGAGACTAGCCTGAACTGCATAGTGAGACCTTGTCTCAAAAAGACAAAAGGCAAAACAACAACAAAAAGAACCCTTGGTGAGATTCAAGCTAGCCTTGGAAACACTTTACAAAGTGTTTACAAAGTGCTACAGCCCAGGCTGGTCTCAGATTTGCAACCATCTGCCTACTTTAAGCTTTCCAAGTGCTGGGATTACAGAAGTGTGCTAGGGCGCCCAGCTCTAAGAGGCAGATTCTTTAAAAAAATAAAAAGTGTTCCAAAAGCTGCACCTGGTGCCAACTAACTATGGTGCTTTGGAGGCTGAGGCAGGAGAATTATTTGATGGCAGGAGTTTGAGACCAGACTGGGAAACATAGCAGGACCTTTTATGAAAAATAAAGCAAAACAAAACAAATAAAATAAGGCCACAAAAAAAACCCCCACTTGGTTGAATATTTTATTAATAGTTAATTTATTGAGGCATCATAAGATTAATACGTTACCTTTGGTCTCTACAGTTGGAACAAGTACTCAAAGTGGTGCTTATTAGTTTCCTAACATTTGTTAGTACATTGAACTGCTGCTGCATGGGTCACCTTGGTCGCTAAGACTGCTGCCCATGCATTTTCAATTTCTTCTCTAAGGGCCCGCAGTGTAGTGGGTTAGTGTAGCATTGTAGTGTCCTGCGATACAGGACATCCTTTAGGGTCCTCCACAGATAAAGTATTAAAATACTGATACAAATTTTTCTAAAATTTGTGTACCTTTTTTTGGCAGATTTTCTCTGTATATATTTATTTCAAGGCTAATCATTACCGAGCAGGTAGAGGAAGATCTTAATTGATATACAATTACCTTAGGTAGGCAGACGGGGCACTTAGAGAAAATCTTTTATTCTTGGTGAATTGATAAGTCTTCCTGGGTAATTAGGGAGGATTCTGGAGGAGCAGGGATAACACCCTTATATGTGAGAGTCATAGTCATTGAGACACAGAGGCAAAGAAGGATGAGACCAGGTGGGGTTCTATTGACTCAATTTAGGATCAGCCACTCCTCCAGCTCAGGGCTGGAGACAGCGATCAACATAGGTCAGTCCCAAAAGCCAAGTGTAGTAGTGCACCCCTGGAGTCCAAGCACTGGGGGGACTGAGGCAGGAGGATTGCCACAAGTTTGAGGCCAGCCTGGAGTATATAGTGAACTCAAGGCCAGCCTGAACTATGTAGTGAGACTGTCTCAACACACATGCAAACATTGGTCGGTCACAGTATTTTCCTTAACAACTCCATATTTTTGGCAAATTTCTGTAAACTTATCCTTGAATTCTGAAACCACACTTAGTCCTTGGTCAACTTCCTGTTGACATTCTTGAAATGAAAATCTAGTCAGTATAAACTGTGTCAAATATACTAAATATATTTGTCATACTGAACAGTTTCAGTACATTCTCCATTTACAATTGTATGGAATTTAAAAAGTAAGGAAGACTTTGCCAAGGGATAGGTGTTTTCTTCTGTTTTTTCCTCTTAGTCAAAGGCCCCTAGGCTGCAATACAACTCTGGAATCTAACCTCATATACATATAGTGAAATTAAGTGGTCAGGCACTCCTCCTTATTGCCATGTTATCTAGCAAGTAAAGACCTAAGAAGGTAGAGTAGCCTGTGGAAAACAGTTCGTCCTGACTAAAAAGCTGTCTTTATCCATGCCAGGGACAGGGTATATGACTCTCATCTTGGGTTGGGCCAGGAGACACCCCTGGGGAGGGTGGAGGTTGGGTGTGGTAGAGATGTATATTATTTGGTTCATGGGCTTTTTCTACCACCAATTTTGGTATTTTTTTTTTTTTTGGTTTCTTGGTTTGGTTTGTTTTTTTTTTTATGTAGTTCAGACTGACTTTGGACTCTCTAAATAGCCCAGATTGGCCTCAAATTTGTGGTGATCTTCCTGCCTCAGCCCCTGGGATTACAGGTATACATCACCACACCTGGCTATTTATTTTTATTCTTTTGACTTATGATATTTAAGCATTTAGCCATTTATAAATGATGTTTCATTCTTAAAAACTTGATAATAAAATTCACACCTACAGTCAGGTGAGGTGGCACACACCTGTAATCCCAGCACTTGGGAGGCCAAGGCAGAAGGATCAGCATGAATTTAAGGCCAGCCTGGGCTACATAATGGGACCCTGCCTCAAAACAAAAAATTCCAGCCTACACAAAGGTGGAGAGAGAACATAAGAATCATCAGATACTTACCAATTGTGGTAACTGTCACTTGTGGATAACATTTCAGCTACACCTGTATGACTCCCATAATTCTGTGTTCTTGTTTTGTGATGTCCATAAAGCATTTTTGTTCTTTAATATTGTAAAAAGGTGTTTATTTGTATCGGAATCATGTTTGTTCATAAATATTCATATTTGTATTTTCACTAACAACAATTTGTTTTTTCTCTTTTTTTGGTGCTAGGGATCAAATTCATGACTTTGCGGGGTGTGATAGCACACTCCCTCCGGTAATCCCAGCACTCAGGAGACTGAGGGAGGTGAATTGTTAAAAGTTCAAGACCAGCCTGGACTACAAAGTGAGCCCAAACAGCCTGAACCAAGTAGCGAGACCCTGTCTCCAAAAAAGACAGGACAGAAAAACAAAACAAAAAACTCATGACCTCGTACTTGCCCAAGCATGGGCTGTGCCAGTGAGCTGTATCTCTGGCCCTAACAAAATGATTGAGTAAACTACAAAGAATAAGATGTACTTACATTTGGGGCTGGGGATTTAGCTCAGTGGCATATGCGCCTGCCTTGCAAGTGTGTGATCGTGAGTTCGATCCCTGGTACCAATAAAAAAGAAAAAGACAAAAAAAAAAAAAAAAAAAAGATGTGCTTACATTCTTATTTTTCTTCTTCTGGTTCTAGGGGTTAAATCCAGGGCCTTTTGCATGTTAGGCAAGTGCTTTTGAGCTATAGCCACAGCTGTTCTTTTGAATTTTATTTTGAGACAGTTTTGCTTCATTGCCCACCCTGGCTTTGAGCTTGAAAGCCTTCTACCTCATACTCCAGAGTAGTTTGTGATACAGTATGCACTGCCATACCCATCAGTGGTTTTTCTGGTTGGTTGGTTGGTTGGTTTTGGTATTGGGGTTGAACTCATGACCTTGCCCCTGCCAGGCAGGCACTTATGCCACTGAGCTGTATCCTCAGCCCATTTTTGGGTTTTTGAGACATGCTCTGTCTTTGTAGTTCAGGCTGGCCTTGAACTCACTGCAGTCCTCCTGCCTCAGACTCCTGAGTGCTGGGTTTCCAGGTGTGTGCCACCATGGCTGCCCCCAACCCCCATTTAACTTTTAAATAAGTGGAAGCATTTTGTACAGACATGTTTAGAACATTCATAGTCTTATGGCTTTTAGAGTGCTGAATAATACATACTTTTTAAAATATGGATGAAGAACCAGAAAGAACTAAGCGATGGGAAGGAGGCTATGAGAGAACTTGGTAAGTAAGGCATTAAGCCCTCTTTTTTCTTTTAGATATTATCTCTTTTTAAAAAATTGCCCACTTCCAGTGTGTAGTTAAGTGACTGTTTTTAGAAAATTTACTCTCATAAGCCAGAAAATTTCCTATCATAAGCCATTGTCTTTTTGAGACAGGGTTTCACTATGCAGTTCAGGCTGACCTTGAGCTCGCTTTGTAGCCCAGGCTGATCTCGAGCTCACAGTCCTGCCTCAGCCTCCTGAGACCTGGGATTACAGGCATGTGGCACCATAAATCAGTCTTTTTTTTCCTCCTATAAACCAGTTTTAAGAACACTTTAACTACTCCAATGACCACTTAGTTAATGGCTACTTACATTTAATTCCATTTTCACTGCTTGTAGACACCCACTAATTTATGTTGTTTATTACAGATTTTCCTTTTCTATTTCCCATAATCATATAATATGTGGTGCGTTGGGCTGGGGATTTGGCTCAGCAGCCTAAGTGTCTGTCTGACAAGCGCTAGGTTGTGAGTTCGATCCCTGGTACCAAAAAAAAGTGGTGTGTTGTATCTGGCATTCACTTAATATACTACTTCAAGGCTCTTCTATGTTGTAGAGTATGTCAGTGCTTTGTTTCTTTTTTTCCCTTTTCTTTGAAATGGGATCTTACTGTGTGGTCAGGCTGATCTTGAGCTCACAGTCTTTCTGCCGCAGTAGCTCTTCAGTAGCTGAATTGGTTCCCTGCGAGATGACGGGGATGAGTACTGGGGATTATACCTGGGGATCTTTACCATTGAGCTATATTCACTGCACTTTTCATTTTTTTATTTTGAGTTAACGTGTAGGTTGCTCAGGCTGGCCTTGAACTTCTGATCCTCCTGCATCAGCCTCCCAAGTAGCTCGGATTATAAGCATGTGCCACCACACCAAGCTTCTTTTTTTTTTTTTTAATACTTTTTTTTTCTTTATATTGTTAGGACACATTTTTGTTTTATCAGTTCAGCAGCTGATGGACATTTAGGTTGTTTACAGTTTTCACAATTACATAGAATCATACTGTGAACACACATGTACAAATATCTATCCACCTCTTTATTTCTTGGGTTATTTTTAGCTTATATTTTAAACCGTTATTACTTACAGGGAAATTCTTAAAGAAGATGAATCTGGCTCAGTTAAAGCTATCATAGAAGACATTCTTTTCAAGGCAAAGAGAAAAAGGTCAGTAAATTCTTCCTAAGTTTGTCATGAAAGGAAATTGTGTCCCTGAACCTTTTTGCCCACCTGTAACTATCTTAGAACTTCATTTCCTTTTGTGTTTCAGAGAAAATGGCTCGTCCTTGTCTGAGTAGGCAGAAAGAACTGGTACTATCATACCTTACCTCAGTAGGGAAATGGGTTTCAGGAATTATATGCAAGCTCTATAATTATGTGTATCCCAAAAGTTAATAATTGACTTCACTAAAAAAATGCATATTATTTAGCAAGTTGTATTGACTTTTTGGGTAGCATATGATATTCCATTAAAATGCTTGTATAATTTTAACAGAGTATTTGAACACCATGGACAAGTTCGACTTGGAATGGTATGTTATCTTTTTTCTTTTACTGGTACAGAACTAGTTTGGATTACAGAAACATTCTGGCTCTACAGAATGAACAATAATAAAGCAACAAACTTTTTAAAAGAATATATTAAAAGCTATGTTCAGAACAGGTGGATATTGAATGCGGTTTTACTTCTTGGTGAAAGATGTAACCGGAGATTATTCCCTTTCTTTTTGGTAGATGCGCCACCTTTATGTGGTGATAGACGGATCTTGGACAATGGAGGACCAAGATTTAAAGCCTAATAGACTGACATGTACATTAAAGGTACAGAAAGATCACTTAAAAGTCATTTACATGTGCCCCAAATGCAGGAGGGACAGTGGGCTCTGGAAAAAAGTGCAGGAAAACTTTTTTCTAGTTGATCTAAGTGACAGCTAAGAGATACGCTACAAGGAAATAGTACAAGGATATAATAAGCGTCACCTGCTAACTATGTAAGTCTCATTTCCGCTTTGCTGTTCCAAGTCAGGGTCTTGTTTTGTCACTTGTCCCTTTCCTTCACTGAATCTTCATTCTCCGTTCACTTCCTTGAATCTGTCTTCTCGGCTTACAGACATATCCATAGTCGTCCTAACTCATGAAGCCCAGTCCTCGATCTTCCTGTTCTCCCTTCCCTGTCCTCAGTGGGTCTTTCCTTCTTTTCATGATTTTTGTTTTGTTTTTCTCTTTGAGTTGGGACCTTGGCTGGCATTGAACTTCTGGCCACATAAGAGGGCCCCTGCCTCAAATTTTTGTTTTTGTTTTTTTGTTCTTTATTGTACTGAGAATCAAATTTAGGACCTCATATTTACCAGGCAGCTGCTGCACCACACTAAGCTAAATCCGCAGCCCTTTTTCTTCTTCTACTTTTTTTTTGTTCTGTTTTTTTTTTTTTTTTTTTTTTTTTTTTTTTGGTACTGGGAATTGGACTCATGACCTTGCACTTGCCACACACAGCTGCTGTGCTGCTGAGCTGTATCCCCAGCCCCTGCCTCAATTTGCTAAGCCGCTGGAATTGGAAGGTGCTTGCCATTGTGCTTACTTCTGATTCATTCAAGTTGGGCATGGTGGGAAATGCCTATAATCCCAGCTGGAGGCTGAAGCAGGAGGTACAAGTTTGAGCCCAGCCTGGACCACTCAGTGATTTAGCAAGTCCCTGTCTCAAAATAAATAAAAAGGGTATGGGATGTAGCTTGGTACCAAGGTCTTGGATTCAGTCTTCAATACCATAAAGCAAAATCAAATCTAAAAAAATCTGGGTCATTATTGTTTTATCACCTGCTATTTCAAATATAGTTTTTACTATTTAATATTTTTGCAACTAAACATTTTCTTGAAAATCTGTAAGTTTAAATATCTTATGGGAGTTTGAAGGAATGAAGCCTTCCTGTATGCTTTTTGGGTGAAATAACTTAATAATGACATTTGGCCTGGGATTGTAGCTTAATGGTAGGTACTTCCCTAGCTTGTGCAGAGCCCTGGGTCCCATCCTTAGCAGCCCAAAAAGAAAAAGAAAAAAGAATATCACAAGGGATCCTTGATAAACAGGTTTATTAAAGCATAGTTGTACTTGTATGTATGGTTTTTTGCCCTTGTGTAATATTTCTTTTTGTTCTCTTTAAACAGTTGTTGGGAGTACTTTATAGAAGAGTATTTTGATCAAAATCCTGTCAGTCAGGTATGTAGATAAATGATAGAATTCAGAATTGCATAACTATTTTGCTGCCAAATATACTGTAATTTGTTTGTTAAAAATAGGATATACATTGTATCATTTGCTAAGTGATCTAGATTATATATTCTTTTTAGGTACATTTAGCAAAAAGCATAAAAGTTTAACAGTAGGTAAACTCAGCTAAATTTATTTGTTTAAAATACGAGGAAAAGTTTCTCGTGTGTTGCTTATTTCTTTTGTAGGCATACTAATTTATTTTACATAAATTTTATCAAGAGGAAGTAATTTGTCATATTAAATTAATGATCTTTTTTGTTTTGAGATTGGAATAATTGTAACTAAGAGTAAAAGAGCTGAGAAACTGACTGAACTCTCAGGTATGCGTTATATTACCTTTCCAGGACACAGGCACTTTGTCTTAATTACCCAGACATGTAACCCTGTTCTTAAGGGTGTTTCATAAGTAAAATGAAGCCTTCCTGTATGCTTTTTAGGTGAAATAACTTAATAATGCCTGTTTTCCATTAAACTCTTGGAATTTAAGATTAACTGTTTTAAACTGAGTTCTGTACATGGTGAATAGTATTACTGTGAATGTGAATCTGTTTCTTTAAGATATGTACAGTCTTTAATATTTTCTGAAAATATTAAAATAATCTTATTGAAACCATTCATAAAATCCATTTAATCTTCAACTTGAGTTTTCAAAAAGTTAAACATTGAATTTAAAGAGCACATATATAAAACGGAATTGCAGCTTTTTTTTTTTTTTTTTGGACTGGGGATTGAACTCAGAACCTTGCAGGCAGGCACCTTGCCACTGACCTAAATCCCTGGCCTGAGTTATAGCTATTGTTAACTGAGTCCACTTTTCTATTCGCACAACATGAATTTTACCTCACATAACTGAATTTTACCTCATAAAAGATAATAATGGCTATTTTAATTTTCTTACCTATATATCCTGCTGCAAACTGACATCATTTAATTCCATTTTACTTTTTGTAAAATAGCTCTACCTTAAATCGATTTCTCCATCTTTGCAATGCATAAGTGAAGTGACACGCTGTGTTTATGAATAATTTTTCACTATCACTGTAAGGAATAAGAGGTTTATTTATATGGATTGATCCAAGAAACTCAGTTGCAAGAAAATATAACAGTTTCGGTTGGAAGTGTGGCTCTGGAAGGCCCCAGTTTGGGTTGGTCTCTAGCACTAGAGGTGGGGCCATAACTAGCTTTCAGCAGCTCACAACGACCTACCGCTGTGCCCTCTGTGTTCGGTGCTGACACATGGGGTAGTTGTTTCTAAGCATCAGGCCTTGTCTGGCTTCAGCCTTTGGTCAGTTTCCTGTGAGATGAAAAGGTCTCTGATAGCAGCCTTATGCCTGCATGGCCCTTGTCCAGCTACACCTAGGTGCAGAGGGACTTTGGTTTTACCATCTGCCTACCCATGAGCCACCAGCACCACAGGACAGTGAGGAGTTTGGGGATGTATTCCTGCACCCCGAGCAGAATGGAGGCAGGATGGCTGCTGGCTCAGCACAGTATGGGCCAAACAGGATAATTACATGATCGTGGCAGGAGCTGCCCCCTCCTGTCTTGACTTTTCCACCCCAAATGTAGAGGTCATATGTATGAAGATTAAAAATCCTCTGGAGCCAGATACGGTGGGCATGTCTATAATCATAGCTGCTTGGGAGGCTTAGGCAGGAGGATCTTGAGATCAAGACCAGCTTGGATTGCACAGAAAGGTCAAGACTGCATAGTGAGACAGTGAGACCTCAACACAAAATTGGCACTTTTTTTTTTAAAATTAAGCATAGAAAAATTTATTGGGAAAATGGGTGGGGGGAATAGAAACAAGCAAGGTCCCAAATGGGTTGCCCAACATGTTCATATTGTATGTATGGTATTTTTTAATGGCATTTTGTAAAAGCAAATTGCTCCATTTAATTTAAGGAAACCCAAGGACACACATAACATCTTTGAAGAAAGCTATTGATATGACCTGTCATGGAGAACCATCTCTTTATAATTCCTTAAGCATGGCCATGCAGACTCTAAAGTTAGTATTTTACATTTCTTACTGAAAGTTGGTTTAGAAGTTTTTAATAAATTAATTGAAATGAGAATATGTTAACTGAAGTTTCCATAAAGCCAGTTATAATAAAGTGGGTAAGTAGAGAACTAGCTGTGTGTGGCAGTGCGCATGTATACTTCCAGCACCCTGAGAGGCTGAGGCAGGAGGATTGCAAATTTGAGCCCAGGCTGGGCAGCTTAGCAAGATCCTGTCTCACAGAAAGAGAGTCGGAGGTGGCGCTGAGGATATAGCTCAGTGTGAAGGGCCTGGGTTTATTTCTCAGGACAGAGCTGCCAAAGGTTTAGGGATCACAAGTGGCATTTAGTGTAATATAATGAGTTGATTGTATCTTCACTGACATTTATTAACCTGTTTGATAGTATATCTATAAATTAATAGTACACAGTTCCTGCAAGTCCAGCTGTGTGGGTTGTAGCAAACCCCAAAGAAAACTTTTACTTTTGAGATAGATAAGTACATAACAAAAATCATAAAAGCAAGCTCTTCAGTGTTAGCTACAAATATTAAGTGGGGAGGATAATAATGAAACGTATAAATAACTGGTAAACTTGTTCCAAAAATGACAGAAATCCCTTTCTAGCATAGAAAGAGCTCACACAGCTTCACCCCTCATTGGGTCATCATTTAATTGTTACTGTTGTTAAACCACATGTACATACCTTAAAGCTGACCCTACTGTATAGTCCTGTTTCTCACTGTACATGTTCGACTTCATATGAAAGAAGCCTGTTGAACTATAAGCTTCGTAATGTCGGGGCTCAGTCAGTATCATTTATCATTCTTTCCCTAGAATTTGAGAGAACTTTCTGTGTATTTCCATGAATAAGTATGTAAAAAATACATAGCTAATTTTTTTTTTCTGTTTTTTTGTACTGGGGATCAAATTTACGACCTTGTACTTGCAAGGCAGGTGCTTATGCCATGGAGCTAAATCCTCAGCCCCTCTTTCAGTCTTTTTGAGACAGGGTCTCTCTGTGCAGTTCAGGCTGGCCTTGGGCTCACTTTGTAGCCCAGACTGGCCCCGAATTCACAGCAGTCCTCCTGCCTCAGCCTTCCAAGTGCTGAGATGACAGGTGTGCACCAACACACCTGGCTTTATAGCTCATTTTTTGAAAAATGAACATAAGGAGCACTTGCCTGTCATGCACGAGTCCTGAACTCTGTCTTCAGCACTGAAAAAGAGAAAAAAAAAATGTACATTGAAGTATTTAAAACATTCTCAATTCATTTCCCAGCAATGTTGAGACAAATGAGATATTCTATAGTCTGAATGTATAAACCTTGTATATTGTTCCTTATAGATACATTTTTGTGGGTATAATTTGCTATAACTTAATGAGAGTATATTTTATCTCTTCTTTAGACACATGCCTGGACACACAAGTAGAGAAGTCCTCATCATCTTTAGCAGTCTTACAACTTGTGATCCATCGAATATATATGATCTGATTAAGGTAGGACCGGTGCATCAAAAGTGATGGGGGCTGGGGATTTAGCTCAGCGGCATAAGCACCTGCCTTGAAAACAGGCAGTCATGAGTTCGATCCCCATATCGATAAAAAGGAAAAAGACAAAAAAAAAAAAAAAGAGTGAAGCTATAGCAAAGTCTGTGGCACATACCTCTAATCCCAGCATTCTGGGAGGCTGAGGCAGGAGGATTGCAAGTCAAGCTCAGCCTGGGCAACCTACTGATTTAGTGAGACACTGTCTCACAATTTTTTTGGCAGCATGGTGGCACAAGCCCGTAATCCCAGCACTCTGGAGGCTGAGACAGGAGGATTACCTTGAGTTTAAGGCTAGCCTGGGCTACATAGTGAGGTTAAACCCAACCTAAACTGTACAATGGGACTCTTGTCTCAAAAAAAAAAAAAAAAGGAAAGGGAAAGTGAAAGGGGATGAAAAAAGGAATTAAAATGTCTTACGTACAAGTACACTACCTAAAAATACAAACATTTTGCACTGTATTCATGTACTGATAAAATGATTTTTAAAATGCTATAAAAAATAAAACTTTTAAAAGGGTGCTGGGAATGTGGCTCAGTGGAGAGACCCTAGATTTAATCCCTGGGGCCCCCAAAAAACAAAAAAACCCAAAGTTAAAACACTAAAGAGAATTCTGTACTGTGTCCAGAGCATTATTTTTTCAAGTACATTAATTCTTAATTAAATACTTTTCTTCTTAATTCTTCTTTTTCTTGGATTTGATGAAGATCCTGAAAGCAGCTAAAATCAGAGTGTCCGTCGTTGGGCTGTGGGCAGAGGTTCGGGTTTGCGCTGCACTTGCTCGGGAAACTGGAGGTGTGTGTCTAGTGTGTTCACTCTATTCATAATCATCGTGTAAGGATTCACTGACTAAGCTAGGCTGTCGTAAGCCACTGAATCTAAATTATTTCATATCCATAGTCTAGCATATGAAGCCATCTTAAATATATTTTGCGTTGAGAAATCACCTCAAAGGGGAAGGAAATTTCAGTAATGTTTGTGTTTAGAGAAAGCATAACTCTTGAAAGGCTAGAAATTTTACTGTGTATAATACTTTCTAAAGATTTCATAATATGGCTTTTAATCAAATTGTAATTACTGTTCTTAGAGATACCAATTTAGAAATAAAGTTCTTAAAAATGACAATTTAACTAAAATCTTAATTTTGAAGATGTACATTTGTAGATGTTAAAGCTTTTACAGGACTATATAGAAATTGTAATGTGTTCTTACATGTGTAAAGCTGATTGTTTGTTTCTTGTTAGGCATGTACCATGTGATTTTAGATGAAAGCCACTACAAAGAATTGCTAACACATCATGTTAGTCCTCCTCCTGCCAGCTCAAGTTCTGAATGCTCCCTTATTCGTATGGGTATGTGTTTATTTTGTTATTTTAAAAATACATATTTTTATTCATATGAGGCTTTCTGTTTTCATTTACTTAAGTTACTTTAAAATTTGAGTTGGATTTTTTTTGGGGCCATGTTTTATGTCACACACTGACTTAGGTAATGCCAACACTCTGGAAGCCTAAGGCAGGGGAATCGCACATTGGAGCCCAGCCTGAGGCAGCTTAATGACTTAGCAAGACCCTGTCACAAAATTTATAAAAAGGGATGAGGTTGTAGCTTAGTGTGAAGGCCCTGGGTTCATTTCCTATTACAACACACACCCAAAAAGACAGTGTTGTTATTAAATTAGAAGATACAGATATGCTGCATGTGGTGGTACACACCTATAATCCCAGCACTTGGGGCTGAGGCAAGAGGATCACTACAAGTTCATGACCTGCCCTCTCTACAAAGCAAGAGACCTCGCCTTGGAAAAAACAAAGCAAAAAGAAAACCCCCAAAAAGAAAATATAGGCGACTGGGGGTTTAGCTCAGTGGCACAACTGCCTGCCTGGCAGGTATGAAGTTGTGAGTTCGATCTCCAGTACCAAAAAGAAAAGAAAATATAGGTAAGAACTTCAGAATCTGAGGTCATGTGTAGACCTATTTTTCCCTCGTTCCTCTATTTTTTCTTTACAGTAGCGGGGTTTACAGTTAGTCTCAGATAGGATAATAAGCATATACATGTATCTCCTAAGAGATGGAAAAACAACTGTTTGTTTGAAAACAGCCTTTGTACAACTTCGTTGGCTCTCTGGTAGAAACATTTTTAGGTTCCTACCCCTAGAATTATGCTTTTTGCTTGGTAAGAGAAATTAATACTTTATCTTTTCTGTGAAGAATTTCCTCAGCACACCATTGCTGCTTTGTCTGATCAAGATGCAAAACCTTCTTTCAGCATGGCATAAGTAAAGACCAGTAATATTTTAGCACTTAAAATTCATTGCTGTAAGTTATAAATTAAAAGATGGGCTTGAAATGTGGCTTGTAATTAAAAATTACCTTTTGACCTGGGTGTGATGGTACACATGTGTAAATGTAGCACTCTAGAGGCTGAGGCAGGAAGATCACTGTGAATTCAAGGCCAGCCTGAATTACAGTGAGACACTGTCTCAAAAAAAAAAAAAAAAAAAATTTAGATAGCCATAAAAAGGAATGACTATATACAGTATATTTCTGCAGTAAGATCTTCAGGAAATGTCAGTAGAAGGAAGAGAGAAGGTGTGTAATTTGATGCTGTCTATCTAAAAAGAAGGAAGTGATGTGAGATGATTCAGTTGTGCTCAGAATAAAAACAATAGTAATGGATATAGGGAGTGAAAACTAAAGAGTGTGTTGGTGTTTAAGGAAAGGCAAAGTGATAGAACCTGGACTTCTACTAAGTATGCCTTGTTTGAACTTCCGCACTTAATATTTTATATAATTAAAAAACAAAAAGAAAGTGATTTTTTCCAAGGCAAGACTTCTGCCTCCTTCCATTAAAGGTATAAAAAGGACTGCATTTACTGTTCTAGAGGAAATATGTCACACAGCCACGTGTGGTGGCACATGCCTGTAATCCTAGTGGGGAGGCTGAGGCAGGAAGATCAAAGAGTTCAAGGCCAGGCTGGGCAAGGCCCTGTCTCAATAAACATTTTTTAAAAAAGAGGAAGAGGGAGGTATGTTGTCAGTTAAATGACACACATATTTTCAAATAAAATTTAAAATTTTTGAAATCCAGAGTTTAAAGTCAAGGAAACGTATTTTCTTTTTCTTTCTTTTTTTTGTCTTTTTTGAGATAGGGTCTCACTATGCAGTTCAGGCTGGTCTTGGGCTCACTTTGTAAACCAGGCTGGTCTCAAACGTGCAACAATTGCCTGCCTCAGCCTCCCAAGTGCTGGGATTACAGGAGTGCAACATATTTTCTTCAGTTTTTAATTTTTAATTTTTTTTTTTTTTTTTTTTTACTTTTTACATCTTTATATACATCATCTTTCAAGTAATTTTTTTCCCCCGCAGGCACCTGGATAGCAGTTCTGAACCGGGACTTACATTAGGAGGCTATTTCTGCCCACAGTGTCAGGCAAAGTACTGTGAGCTTCCTGTTGAATGTAAAATATGTGGTAAGAACCTGTTATTCATTGTTTAGTAAATTAATTTCAAATAATTTATTATCTATCATATTGGTATAAATAAATGTTAAAAAATGTAAATGTTGAATTCCACCTAGGTTTCTGGGTATTTATGTGTCTGTGTATGTATTTATGTGTGTGTGTGTGTGTGTGTGTGTGGTACTGAGGCTTGATCCCAGTACCCACTCTCTGCTCTGAGCTGCATCCCCAGCCCTTTTTATACTTGTGAGACAATGTCTCACTAAGTTGCCCAGGCTGGGCTCAAACTTGCAAAGTTTTTGGCTGAGCCTCCTGGAGTGTTGAATTACAGGTGTGTGTCATCAGGCCTGGTGTGTCTTTACTTTTTGCAAAGAGAAATAGGTTACTTTTTAAATTGAATGTCCAGTACTACATTTCCAAGAATAAACATAATGTATAAAGTCTAATTCATTTAGAAGTAAGCAAATAGGCCCAGAGAGGTAATATGTGAGGTGACAGAGCTTACTCACCCCTGGACACGCCTGTGGTCCAAGGAAACTGAGAACCGAGCAGCAACAGATGCCGCTCACTCTCCAGGGAAGGAGTTCAGCAGTGGAAGGGCTGGCAAGCCTGCAGCACGGCCTGGCTTCAGCCTCCAGTGCTGCAAAAAACAAAACTCCACTAAAAACACTTGCAAGTGCTTAGGCTGAGTTACAGATTTGGCTTCTTAGCTGTTGTCTCTATGAGGTGTGGATTAAATATGCTTCTGTTTGTATGTTAGGTCTTTCTTTGGTCTCAGCTCCCCACTTGGCGCGGTCGTATCATCATTTATTTCCCTTGGATGCTTTCAAGAAATTCCCCTAGAAGAATATAAAGGGGAAAGGTATGAGTTTTGATTTATTTATATCTCTTCATAATGGTGAGCTAATGTTTGAGTAGATTGTCACTGCCTTTTGAAAAATAGTTATTAACTTGAGTATGATTACTTCTGATATAGAAAATGAGACACAGCTGGGCATAGTGGTGCATACCTGTAACACAGCTGTAGAGACTGCTGAGGCAGGTGGATTGCAAGTTCAAGGAAAGCCTGACCAACTTAGATCCTGTCTCAAAATTTAACAAAAGGGAAAAAAGGCCTGGGGATGTGATTTGCGGTAGAATACCGGTGGGTTCAATCAGGGAGGATCCTTGTTTTTGAATGAAATAACTCATTATTGAACACATCTGTGTCTCCAGAACTTGTTGATTTCCTTGCTTTCACCTCTTTGTAGTGAGAGTGATGTACTGAAGCCAGGTATGATAGTTCATGCCATAATCCTAGCAATTAGGAGACTGAGGCACAAGGATCTTGGGTTCCATCCAGGCCAGTCTGGGTTAAATAGAAAGTCCTGACCCAAAAAACAAGAACGGAAAAATCATTTGGAAATCGTTTCATATAAGCACACTTAGAGGATTATTTTTCGAAATTGTGTATGTAGATATTACCATGTTTTATATAATCAGTTCTTTTTTTTTAAATTGGTACCAGGGACCACATGCTTGCAAGGCAGGAGCTTGTGCCACTGAGCTAAATCCCCAGCCCCAATCAGTTGGTATTATCAAATAATGTTAATGACTTTAACTTTGTATATGTATAAATGCCTGATAGATTCTTAGAGGTAGAATTGTTGAATCAAAAGTTATGTGAATTTTAAGGCAGCCGTGGTGGTAAAAACCCGTATAATCCCAGCACTTGGAAGGCTGATGCAGGAGGATCACCATGAGTTAGAGGCCAACCTGGGCTACCTAGTAAGCTCCAGAGCAGCCTGGTCTACATAATGAGACCCTGCCTCAAAAAGGAAAAAAAACAAGTGATTTAATAGATGCTGTAAAGATATCCTTTAAGGAGGTTTCATTTGTTGTTTGCTTAAACTTGAACAGTATTAGGATTATGAAATTTTTTTATATTGGCCAACTTTTAAAAAATCTTATTGTTTTAACTTGCATTTATTTATTTACTTATGATTGAGGTAGACAGATTTAAAGATAGAGCTGAAGAAATATTCCAGGAAGTAGAATACTTGGCATAAAATGAAGAACCCAATAAAGGTAAAAAACCAAAAAAATCCAAACTGGTAGATTTTTCAAGAATGTCCAGTATAGGAATATGTGAGAAAGAAAGAAAAGAGAAAATATAGAATAGGAGATCATCAAATAAATAGTTTAAGGAAGTTTTCTACTTCCTTAAACTATTGTACAAACTATTCCTTCTACTATTGAAGAATAGTATTTTCTTGGTCAAAAAGGACTGTCAAGTGGTTAATTTATTGAAAAAAAACCAGACCCACACTGAAGTACATAGCTGTATAATTTCCAAATACGTAGTGAAATACGAACCCTAAACATTTCCAGAGGAGAAAAATTAGGTCACATGTCAAGGATCTGGGATTAAAATTGCTCAGCTTCTCATCAACAATATTGAATGCTAACAGAGAATTTCAGTGTTCAGACAGAAATATTATATATATATATATATATATATATATATAATCAGAGTGAAAATATTACAGTTCAGCCAGGTGTGGTGGTGCATGCCTGTAATGCAGCAGGAGAACTGCTGTGAGTTCAAGGCCAGCCTGAGCTAGAGTGAGACCCTGTCTCAAAAAAAAAAAAGACTTACAGAGATGGATGAGCATGACATCAGTTTACATGTATGCACTGTTAGTCCAAGAAGTCTGAAGGAATTAAGTTCTCATCTTCCATGGCTGGAGGCTTAGAGCCAGTATTCACAGAGCAGGAGTTAGCACTTATATAAGCATAAGTAAATATCACAGTTACAAGTTTAGTTTAGTTTCGTTTCGTTTTTTTTAATTCCATGTTTGTGGATTTTTGAGACAGGGTATCACTCTATAACTCAGGCTGACCTTAAACTCACTGGCCCAAACTCACGGCAGTCCTCCGGTCTCAGTGTTGGGATTATAGGCATGCACCACCCCACTTGGCACAAGGTTAAAAGTTTTGAAAGTACCTCTGGGGAGCTGGGAATGAAATGGGAAGGAGCCAGGGAATTGCTGTTTTCAGTAATAAACAGAGAACTTTGTTTTTTTGAGAGTTCTGGGGTAGAATCAAGCCAGGGCCTCATATAATCGGCTTGCACTGCACTGCACCCCGAGTCCCAGGTCTTTATACTGCTCCTTGAAAGTGAGACTGCCAGCCTTGGGGGTGCACACCTGTAATCCCAGCACTCAGGAGACTGAGGAAGGAAGGTTGCCGCAAGTTTAAGGCCACCCTGAACTACCTGGAGACACCCTATCTCAAAAACCAGCCAGAAAACAAACAAAAATTTGAAAAGAAAGAAAATAAAACCATTAGGCCCCCATTCTGTGTAAGAAGTTAACGTGTCTTCTGTTCATCTAGGATTGTATCTACTAGGTATAGGAGAGTTGAAAAATAGTTATTTTCTGTAGGGCTTAATTCTCTTCTAGAACCCCAATTAGAAAATATATGCATATTTAACCTTAATGAAAACAAAAACTACATTTTGGGCTGTCTTGAGCTGGCCAACATACTGTAGAATTTTAAGAAACTGTTGGCATTCTTAACTCTTTCTGCCAAAGTTTGGTATAGAAGTAATTAGTAAGGGATTCTAGTTACTCCAACTTGGTTACATCATTTTAACTAGTGAATTATTTTTTAAAAAATGATTCTCAAACTTTCTTTTTCAGATTTTGTTATGGATGTCAGGGGCAACTGAAGGACCAACATGTGAGTCTTGACTTTCTAATAATAAGCTATGCATAAGAAAATAATACTATAATAAGTTTTCTGGAGGTTGTTGAAGACCAGACTTATATCAGCTTATTTTCTATAAATAGTTATATACTAATTAGTAGACATAAAATGGGGGGAAAATCATCTAAATAGTAGTTTTGTAATTCTGCATTCTGATTTTGTTATGAAGACACTTAGTGCTTTGTCTTCTGTTTTTAAGCTAACTGCTCTTGTTTATTTAAAGTGTTGTGTTTTGCTTTTGTTACCAGGGGTAGAACCAGGGCCTAACCCACGCTAGGCAAGCACTCTACTACTGAGCTACAGCCCTGGCCCCATTGTGACTCCTTTGGAAGTTATCATTTAAGGTGGCCACAAATAAAAATTGTTAGTATTTGGAAGCATTTTTAAAATTTTTTAATACAGAGCCAGGCTAGTGGTGCCTGCCTGTAGTCCCAGCCAGTCAGGGGCATGACTGAGTTCACTGGGCCTGAGCCACACAGCGAGGCTCCATGTCAAGCAACCATGGCAGAGTTTAAAAAGAAGTTTTTGAAAGTAGTCAGTGCGATTATATAAAGTCATATAAATGCGAATGTCATGTCTATTTTTAATATTTAGTGACATTTCCATATTTAAAAATACAAAGTCTATCAAGTGTTAATTAGCAGTATTACTTGTTTGAGGCTAGCAGTGTAGCTCCGTGGTAAAGCTCATGCCCAGTATGTATTTTAAGATCCTGGGTTCAGTCACCAGCACCCCACAAAACAAAACAAAAATTGCTTGTTTATTCCACTTGAATGTTTCATAAAATAATTTTATTAAATTTTACTTTCCTTGAGACGAGGGGTATAGCTCAGTGGTAGAAAGCCTACTTAATGTGTATGATCCAAGGTTCAATCTCTAGAACATTTCTCTTTGACATCTGTAGTTTATCCTCACTAAAATCACTTTTTCAATTGTTTTACAGTTTTTTTGTTTTTTTGTACTGGGAATGAAACTCATGCTTGCCAGGCAGGTACTGTGTTGCCTAGCCATATCCCTAGCCCTTGCTTTCTAGTTTCTAAGAACATAATCTAGCTGAGTGTGGTGGCTCATTCCTATAATATTAGCACTTAGAAGGCTGAGGCAGGAGGATCACCCAGAGTCAAAGGCCAGCCTGAACTACATAGTGAGATCTTCTCTAAAACAAAGCAAAACAAAACATCATCTTTACTTGTGTGTTAAGATATAGTGAGTTTTATCTCTAGTCAGAGGTATCCGTATATGCAATGCTGATAGAATTGTGAGCTTTTATTCTCTATGTGTAAGTTGACCTACTGCCTAATGGCTTAGTTGAAAGAGGAATATAATTTTTGCAGTTGTGAGGTTGTTCTCTTAAAAATAACTAAACCCAGGGCTGGAGATATAGCTCAGCAGGGCAGCACCTGCCTAGCAAGTTTGAGACCTTGAGTTCAATTCCTGGTGCCAAAAAAAAAGCCTCTTAAAAAAAGAACTAAACCCATGTTAAATTTTTGTGCTTCTGTTTTTACTCGGATCTGTCTGATGACCACCTGTAAACATTCATACATAGCACTGATTTGTGCTCACATGACTCCTCTATGTTGTTACTTAAATGAAGTAGCTGAGAATATGTTATAATAAATTGACTTTGGGGGGCTGGGGATTTAGCTCAGCGGCATAAGAACCGCTGATATAAGTTTCTGATATAAGAAACTTTTTTGTGGCTGGGTGTGTTGGTACACAACTGCAAGCAGGCGGTTGTGAGTTCAATCCCCGGTACTGATAAAAAATAAATAAATAAATAAATAAATAAATAGACTTTGAGGATTCGAATCAGAGTCATTTCTCCATTTCTAAGGATAGTTGGGGGGGGCATAAATCACATCAGATTTAAAAATATATATGCAAGGTGGGTAGGGAAGCTTGCTTGCAATATAAATAGCAAAGCAACATAAATGTCTTCTAGCTGTGATCACTTAACTGTTTATTTTTTATTTTTTTCACTTAACTTTTAGACACTATCTTGGTTGATTCCTTTTTCTTCTTTCTGTTGCAGGTCTATGTTTGCACTGTGTGCCAGAATGTATTTTGTGTGGACTGTGATGTTTTTGTTCATGACTCTCTCCACTGAGGTCCTGGCTGCATTCATAAGATTCCAATTCCTTCAGGTATTTGATTCCAGTATGAGTACACATAATGTGTCAAAAAGAAATTTGTGTTGGGCACACCCATTATCCCAGCACTCAGGAGGTTGAGGCAGCAGGATCCTTGAGTTTGAGGCCAGCCAGGGTTACATAGCAAGTTCAAGGCCACCATGAACTACATAACAAGACTCTGTCTCAAAAAAAAGAAAAGATTTGAAACTATAAGGTGATTCTTTAGAAAAAGCTCCAATTAAAACATGAAGAACAGTTTAAGAGAAAAATCTGATATAAGAAACTTTTTTGTGGCTGAGTGTATTGGTACACACCAGTAATCCCAGCACTTGGGAAGCTGAGGCAGGAAGATAGCTGTGAGTGTGAGGCCACCCTGAGCTGCATAGTGAACTCAAGGACAGTCTGAACTTCACAGCAAGAAAAAAAAGAAAAAAAAAACTTTTTTTCACAAGACTATTAAGTTTTTGTTTCTTGTCACAAAAGGCCTAGAATTCATTAGTATTTTATTCAACAAATTTTGTATTATTTAGAGTCATGTGTTCAAAGTCCTTGTGCATTACTATGTGCAAATTATAACTGAAGTACATTAAATGTTTGTGATTTATTTTAATTCATTAATTTAGTGTAAGAAGACATTAAGAACACATTGTAAGAGGTGGGAGTTAAGCTCAGAGGTGTAGGTTTCTCCTCGGCAAGGGTAAGATGGTGAGTTTCATTCCTGGTACCTAAACAAACAAACAAAAAACACATTGTAAGATGGAAGTTATATAATAATTATGAAATGTTAACACATACGAAATAATGCACTGCTGCATCCTCCAGAGTGTTCTGTTTGGACTTAAAATATTTGGAGTTCAATTATAAAATCTGAAGTAAAGTTCTCTGGCTGTGACCAACAGGAGGCTTTTAGGTTTAACACACCAACTCACAAGCCCACACCACCCTTGGCACCAGTTCACAAGAAAGAGATGAAAGGGAACCACAGCCTGGAGCAGGGCCACATCGCATCCCCTCCATGGGGTCTGGACACAGCTTTGCAGGCAGGGGTCTCTTAACTGCGAGGCTGGCATCTTCCCTCTACGAAGTCACAGGGCTTCCATGCTTAAACAACAGTGGAATTCCAATGCCGTGGGAAAAGGTTTTGGCCTCTTTTATGCGCTACACTGATTGCTTTTAAAATACCATACAGAATGCAGGATGTTGGATGCCACCATTTTGGTTGGTTGTTACCTGAGTCTTGCTTGTGTAGTTCAGGCAAATGAAACCAAAGTTGAGATATCTTCCTGTTTGAACCTCACTGAGTGTTTAATTATTGCCTTCCATTATTCTGCGCTGGGTCACTAGGGAAATTTAGCTGAGAAGATCTGTTTTTTTGTTTTTGTTTTGGCACCGGAGCTCGAACCTCATGATCAGGCATTTGCAAAGCAGATGCCTATGCCGCTGAGCTAAAACCCTAGCTCCCAAAATCTATTTTTAGGTCCAGTGCAGCTGTATTGTTGGTAGAACTCTTCAAGATGTGCCCTGTTGAGAGTGAATAAAGCTTCCATTCCGTAACAAAGGTGTGTACTGTGTATTTTATATCTGTAGACTTTAATCACCCTAGGTAAAATTTTACCATGAAGTTTATGATCTAATTCTTAGTGAAGGACATTATCAGTAATGATGATGCAATTCCATGCTAGAGATTTTATTTTTTAAAATTATTATTTTAAAAATTGGGGCTGGGGATTTAGTTCAGCAGCATAAATGCCTGCCTGGCAAGTGTAAGATTGTGAGTTTAATCCCCAGGGGTTGGGGAAATCAAACTCAGGACCTTGTGCTTGCCAGGCAGGTCTGTTGCTACTGAGCTATATCCCTGGCCCTAGAGATTTTATTTAATAAACCTTGGCTGAGGCCTAGAAATTCATATTCTCTGTAAACACACACACATACTGGTGCGCAAGGTAACAAAAGTAATAGATGTTGCAGTTAGTATTCATATGGTAAAGGCAATTTTGAATGTAAAGTATATTTTAAAACTTAGATTTGTAATCCTATTCAAGGATGGTATTAGGAAGTGCAAGCTGTTCCCATAATTAAAAAAAAAAAAAATACAAACTCAACTAAGCCTTGACATCCCCCACGCCAGCTAAAACTTGTAGATAAATGTAACTCAACCAGACAGTGCATCTTGTTGAACGAGCTTGCTTTCAAATTCTTAAGGACAGACTAACTCAGTTATAGGCAATGAATGATTCTTCCTGTTCCCCACAATCCTGATCCCCAAATTATACAATAGTAACCACAATTAGCTTACATAAAATAAGCCTGCCTGAGAGCAAATGACTCAGTTTATGTAACCAATTATAAAAGATCCTGTTACCTGTCTTCAGACCTCCTTCTGAAAACATACGTAAGTGACTGTTAGCTTCAAGTTAAGGCTGCTTATTTAGAACAAGATTCCATTCGGCCTGCTAGTGTAATAAAGCCCTATGTCTTCCAAAGTTCCTCTGGTGCTATGACTTCTGTCTGGTCTGGACCTGAACCTCGTAGCAGTATTTTCTGAGCTGAGACCCAGTGGTTTTTTGTTTGTTTGGTTGGTTTTTTTTTTTTTTTTGAGACAAGATCTCACTGTGTAATTCAAACTTGCTTTGAACTCACTCTATAGCCTAGGCTGGCCTTGAACTCACAGCAATTCTTCTCCCTCAATCTCTGCATAGGTGTGCACTACCATGCCTGGGGGCCCACTGGTTCCCTATGTGGAAACAAATTATAGTTACAGGTAACCTGGTACCTGCCATCTTCTCTCTTCTTTGACAAAAGAGGTAGCAATGATGTGCGTGCGATACCTTTAACACTGTCCAAGTGTTCTACTTCTTTCTCCCTGATGGCTAGAGGCAAGACCTTGGGTCACCTCTTAAAGTTTCTGGAACTGTCCTAGAGACTCATCCTACAGATTTAACTTTCCCCAAGTATCATTTTCTTTCTTGATGAAGTTAGGGTAAATATTTTAATTATACTAAGGAGAAGCTTTGCTTTCCACAAGACAGAGGAAAATCTTGGATTGTTGAAGATTCCAGAAATGGGAGTTAGGATTGTAGCTTAGTGGTAAAGCGCTTGTCTAACAAGTGCGAGACCCCGTGTCCAGTCGCCAAAAATAATTGCAGAAATAGAAATGATGATTAAGGCAGTTCTGACCTTTAGTTTCCTTATTGAAATTCTTAGCATATTATCATATATTTTAAGTGCTTTCAAATAGGTAGTTTGTTACCTTACATTCTGTGTGTGTGTGTGTGTGTGTGTGTGCGTGTGTGACTAGGGACTGAACCCAGGGCATTTGCACTGAGCTATCATCCCAACGCTTTTTTATTTACTGTTTGAGTCAGGGTCTCACCAACTTGCTTATACTGAACTTGAACTTGCAATCCTTTCACCTCCTCAGCCTCCTGGAGTGCTCGGATTACAGGTGTGCATTATCACACTCAGTCTCGTGTTCTTTATTCAGACTCACAACCCTACCTCCTTCCATCACCCATGAATCATTGCTTGCAGTTTGCCCATGGGCTTGGTCATGCAGTCCTTGGGTGCCTGCTCAGGAAGCCAGATCTGCTCAGTGGTGTGGTATTCCGTCCAGCTCTGGATGGTGAAAGGGACAACTCAGATTAGACTAGTGTGCTAACTTCCTTTTCCAGTCCAGCCCAGTGCAAAGTCAGCGCCAGTAGAGTAGAAAGTAGGCAACATCTCAGGACAAAAAGGCAGCTAGAGGAATCTGAGGAAACATGAAAAGTTGTGCCTAGTGGATGCACGTGGGAGGCTGAGGCAGAAGGATCACTGCAAATTCAAGGCCAATTTGGGCTACATTGTGAGTTCAAGGCCAGCCAGCACTATATAAAAAGAACCTGGGTCAAAAAACAGTTTGGTTGACCAAAGGGGGAAGAAAAAAGACTAAAATTACTAATATCTGTAATGAAAAAGAAGACATTACTAAGAACCTTACAACTTACATAGTCAAAAAGAAAAGAAGAAACTTCTTACCTATTAACAGACACTCCCCATTTATTCCATTTCATGGTATCTCCTACAGTTGTCTTTAGTTTGGTATGTTTTAGAGTTAAAGCTCAAAAAAACTTTAAGAAACAAAACCTTAACATGTGGAAACAGGTTAGCAGGTCTCCTGCTGCCCAGAGGGGAAGTGGGAAGCACGTGGGGACATGGTGAGACTTCTCAGTGCTTTGTAACACCCTCATCTCTGGCCATGGGTGACTTCCTCTCCTGCCTCCATTACGGTCAGCAAGTTCATAGCGTTAAGTGATTTCAGGGGTGTTGACATATAGCGGTGTAAGCAGTCTTGGGAAGGCAGTTGGTGAACCCTAACCCTAAGGGCTTCAGGAAATGCAGGAGTTACAGAAAAGGGAAGAGGTGCAAGTCTCCAGAACGAGAGAGAGGCTGCCGCATTTCTGGGAAGTGCTGTGCTGATGCCCAGTGGCCTCCAGATTGTTAGCACTCATTTGATTCTGTTCTGGGAAAGGAATTACAGGGGGGGCTGAGGACTCTCCTGGGATGTTTACTCAGTTTCCCCTAACTGATTGCTCTCTTGAGTCACACCTCAGGCCAGGACCCTGGAAGCAGTGCAGCCCTTCTCCACGAAGGTCTTAATCACTCAGCAAACCTGACACAGCAGCTATGTGTCTGCCTTGATCCTAGGCATCAGAGAAATGAACTCTGGGAAGGAGATACAGGGTCTAACCTTGTGACATGGAAGCTTCTAGTCTGAAAAGGAGTGGCCTTACAAAGAGGTCCATGTGAGCAGGGCCTGGTGGCACCTACCTGTAATCCCAGCACTCGAGGCTGAAGCAGATGGATTGCAAGTTTGAACCCAGCCTGGGCAGTACAACAAGACTGTCTCAAAATAAAATTTAAAGAAGTGCTGGGGCCTTGGGTTCAATCCCCAGCACTGGAAAAAATAAAAGTGCTAGCAGTATGCCAGGGTTAAAGGAGTGGGCCGGGGATCTATCAGATTAGCTTGGTTGCAACTCACGTATCTGAGATCAAGCAAAGAGCAGAAATCAATGGGGCGGGGGGAAGCTGACAGACATGTAACCTCTAGAAAGCAGTTGCCCCATCTGAAGGAGGCTGCTTCTGGCATGTCGAGGGTTGGGGTAGAAGGGAGTTTTCACTTTATATCCTTTAGTACTTTTTCAGTTTTGGGGGAGGTGCTGGGACTCTAGGACCTTGTGTTTCACAGGCAGGTGCTTATGCCACCGGGCTATATCCCCAGCTACTTTTTCAATTTTATTCATAATGTCTTACCTAGTCTGAAAAACAAAACAAAAAAAAGGCTCATAAAATAAAGTAACCATTATTCAACCCCAGTTTTACTCTTTCCTTCAGGGAATATAGGCCCTTTGAGGCCATATATTTTGATACTTAAAGAGAAAACTTTAAAATTTGCATACTACAAAAATGAAGCATGATTCTTTGGAGGAAAAGGAGGGATTTTTTAAGTATCTCTGTAATCAGCTATTGTAAATATGTTGCTTGGACCAGTAGCATCAGACTCATCTAGCAGTGCATTAAAAATGCAAACTTAAGCTGAGCACAAGGGCACTTGCCTACAGTCCCAGCACTTGGGAGGCTGAGGCAGGAGGATCTCAGTGAGTTTGAGGCCAGCCTGATCTACATAGCAAGGTCTTGTCTTAAGAAACAAAAACAAAAAAAGAAATGCAAACTCTTGAGCCCACAGGAACCTGCTGAATTGAACTCTGGTGTGAGCTTGGCAATCTTCTTCAATAAATCCCCTCTGTCCCCTAAACTCTTGCCTCACCTTGACTTGTGAACCGCATGTAAAAAGTACAGCTGGGTTATGAACAGCTGGCTGCACAATGGAAAGTGTGTTAAATGAACACTGTTCATTTGTAGATTGTAGATATTGACAGAGAAGTTGTGAAAACCAGTGAAACCTAGAAGCCTTACTGCAGCAATTTGATACACTAGCAAAAAGATGTGGATACTCTGGAAGGTAACTCTCCCCTGGCTCTGTCCAGGTGGCACAGGGAAGCATAGCGCTTTGCCCTGTGATGTACAATTCCTTTCCACAAGGCTGGGGAAGAGCTGAGCCTTGTGTCTGCGCCAGCATATTCCTACAGCTTCTCAGAGTCCTTTGGGCAATGACTGAGTGGATAAATCATGCAGGAAACAATGTCTAGTCAAGACTTTAAATATGAACTACAAACTTCAAGAATATAGTTTTGTGGCCAGGGATTTAGCTTAGCGGCTCAAGTGCTTGCGTCATGAGTTCGATCCTGGTTTAAAAAAAAGAAAAAATCTTGTGGGTTTTTTTTTTTTCCTTTCAATAAAATTAAATTTTAAAAAAAGTTTGAATAAAGGGGGAGGAAACGATCTGGGGACCTGGGGTTTGCCTTGCTTTAAAATTTGTCCTCTTAAATTATAAAGAATAGAGCAGAAATTAATACATTGAAGACTACAAAAAAATACAGAGAATGAAAGACTTGCTTCTTTGAAAGACTGAATAAAATTGACAAACCCTTAGTCAACCATATCAAAAAAAAGAAAAGACTCAAATCCACACCATTAGGAATGAAAAAGATGAAATCACAACAGACCCAGATTTTTCTGTAGAAATCTAGAACATTATCTATACCTACTTTGAAAACTTATATTTAATAAAATGGGAAGTATAGAAGAAATGGACATATTCCTACATACATATAAATTACCAAAGCTGAATCAAGAAGCTATAAAAGTAAGTAACCCAATATCAATAAATGAAATCAAAGATATAAGTAAAAAACTATCAACAAAAAATCCCAGACCCTAATGGATTCACTGCTAAGTTCTACAAGAAATTTAGTGAAGACCTAACACCACTACTTCTCAAACTTTTTAATGAAATTGAAAGTGAAGCAATCCTAAATTTATTCTGGAAGCATGCATTACCCTAACACCAAAACTGGAGAAGGACCCAACTAACAAAGAGAATTATAGGGCAATCTCCCTAATGAACCCTGATGCAAAAATCCACAGTTAGATACTGACAGACAGACTGCAGCAAATTATCAAAAAGATTGTACATCATGATCAAGTAAGATTCATCCCAGGGATGCAAGGATGGTTCAACGTACATAAATCCATAAATACAATACACCATATTAACAGAGCTAAGGACAAAAATCATATGATCATCTCAATAGATTCAGAAAAAGCTTTTGACAAAGTCCAGCACCCATTCATGATAAACATCTTACAGAAAATTGGAATAGATGATCTTTAACTCAATCTTATAAAAGCCATCTATGACAAACCAACAGCCAGTATCATACTAAATGGACAAAAACTAAAAGATTTTTCTCTAGAATCAGGAAGAAGACAAAGATTCCACTGTCTCCTCTCTTATTCAACATAGTATTGGAAACTTTCACTGGAGCAATTAGACAAGAGGAGGAAATATAAAAGGAATAAAGATAGGAAAGGAAACATAAATTATCATTTGCAGATGACATGATATTCCACCAAAAGACTTATATTTATTAAGCAAATTCAGTAACATAGCTGGATATGAAGTGAACTAAAATATCTGTAGCCTTCCTGTACATGAATATCTAACTCACTGAGAGAGGAACCAGGGAAATAATACCATTTACAACAGTATCCAAAAAAGTGAAATACCTAGGAGTCAATCTAACGAGGATGTAAAACTATATTGAAAACTACAGCACTCTTGAAAAAGGAGATTGAAGAGGATATTCCATGCTCTTGATAAGAAGAGCCAATATAGTGAAAATGGCCATACTTCCAAAACTCTTATACAGATTCAGTGCAGTCCCAATCAAAATTCCAATAGCATAGCTCACAGAATTAGAGAAAGCAATCCAAAAGGTCATTTGGAGCCAGAAGACACCTGGAATAGCAAAGGCAATCCTGAGAAACAAAGACAACACAGGAAGCATCACAATCCCTGACTTGAATTTATACTATGAAGCTACTGAGATAAAAACAGTGTGGTACTGGCCAAAAAAAAAAAAAAAAAAATCATAGACCCAAAGATCAATAGAATACATTAGAACATGCAGAAACAACTCCAGATATACTAAAATTACCTTATTTTTAACAAGGTGCCAACCACACTCACTGGAAGAAAGATAGCTTTTTTAATAAATGGTGCTGGAAAAACTGCCTCTACACATGCTGAAGGTTAAAACTGGCCCATATCTTTCACCATCTACCAAGGTAAATTCAAAATGGACCAAAGATCTTAATATTAAAACATAAACATTAAATCTTTTGGAATAGAGAATAGATAAAACTCTGAACACATTGGTGTAGGCAAAGATTTGATGAACAAAACGTCTATTGGATAGAAATTATCACAAAACATCAACCACTGGGATCTCACCCTATTGAAAAACTCTTGCACAGCAAGAGAAACCACAAAGAGTGAAGAGATAACCCACTATGGGGGAGAAAATGTTTGCCAGCTGTACCTCAGACATAGGAATACTATTGAGAACATATAAAGAATACAAAGAAATTAGTCCTCTCAGATTTAAAGGCCCAATCCAAAAATAGGCATCTGAGATGAATATCCATTTCTCAGATGAAGAAATACAAACAGCGAATAAGTATGTCAAGAAATGTTCAACAGCACTGACCACTCAAGAGTTGAAAATTAAAGCAACACAAATTCCATCTCATGCCAGAAAGAATGGCTAATATTAAGAAATCAAGCAATAACAAATGCTGGAGGGGCTGTGGGGAAAAAGGAACCCTTCTCCACTGTCGGTGGAAGTGTAGACTGGTGCAGCCACTGTGGAAATCAGTGTGAAGATTCCTCAGAAAACTAGGTTTAGATAAGGTTTTGTACAACCCAGCTATTTATCTTCTGGGCATCTTCCCAAAAGAATTAAAAACATCATACCACAGTGATATATGTGCACCCATGTTTATAGCAGCACAATTTGTAATAGCTAGATCTTGGAACAACCCAAATGCCCACCAGCTGAGAAATGGATAAAAAACATCTGATATTTTATACAATGGAGTACTACTCAGCCATAAAAAGGATAAACTGGAGACTTTATAGGTATATGGCTGCAACTTGAGACCATACTCATTAGTGAAATAATAAGATACACATAGTATTGTCTCATTAGTGTGAGAAGCTGAAAGAAAAAACATGTGCATATGTATATGTTATACAAAAACAGTTTGTATAGTTACACTACAAATTTCTCTGAGCGCACTAAAGAGAAAGATTTGTGCTGGTAATGTTTGGACAACTAAACACAAATGTGCTCTGGGTAAATAATTTGGGAATAACAATGTGCAATGTATGTACCATTACTACCCTCTGATTGACATGTTTTGAATTTTTGTTTTCGTTTTTTTCTTCTTTTTCTCCTTGAAATAAAACGGATTTGGGGAAAAAAAAAACCCTTAAAAACATTGTCCTCTTTCCTGGTTTGATGGTGTACACCTGTAATCCTAGCTGTTGGAAGGCTGAGACAGGAGGATTGCCACAAGTTAGAGACCACCCTGGACTACGTAGTGGACTCTGTCTTAAAAAGAAAAAAATCCCCCTTGCAGCACACTGTAACAGCCAAATATGCAGACTCTGGTTAGGCTGCCTGGTAAATCTTGAGCCATGTACCTGAGTTACTTCACCTGGAAGATGAAGATAACACACTTGTTTAGACTGTCAGCGGTGTTAAACCAATATTCTTTGATTCAGGGTACCAATGCACACACTAGTTCTCCAGGTCTGCGAAAGCAAAATATTTAGTTTGAGAGTGGGAGTGGGGGATATTTTCTTAAGAATGTTTTGATCTCACGGTAACACCTGTATGTCACATATTCCGATGACAAGACAGACCCGGGCAACTGTCTCATGCATGCATTTTCTTTCTTTCTTTCTTTCTTTCTTTCTTTCTTTCTTTCTTTCTTTCTTTCTTTCTTTATTATTGGCACCAGGGATCGAACTCACGACTGCCTGCTTACAAGGCAGGCGCTTATGCCACTGAGCTAAATCGCCAGCCACCCATGCACAGATTTTCAATTCACCTCTTATTTTTCTTTTTTTTTTATTTAAAAAATAGAAAAGTCAAAAAAGAAAAACAAAATGCAAAAGGCATAAACAACAGCAAACGCAAAACAATAACAATATAGGTTTCAAAACAGAATGAAAGAAATTTAACTGGTTGTTATGTTGCATATTGTTCTCTTTTTTTCTCACAGAAAGAAAATAAAATAGAAAAACAGAAAAGAAGGGTAGGACAATGCTAAATTAAAACAATTATCATCGTAGAATCACTACTATATACATTACTCATTGTCATCTTAAAAAACAGTCGCCAAAGTCACAAAATCAAAGCATAAACAGTGGCTAGACACTCAACATTGACAGTGCAAATCGTTCTGTTCAATGTTCCAGCAGAAATTCAGTAATATGGTCATCTATCTTACCCAATGTACATTCCATTGTATGCTTTAGAGCACTTCCCTTCCCTTTCACTTTCACAGTATCTATTATACTTTTTGGATCCCCTTATTCTGTCAGTTTTTATTATTGTTTACACTAGAGAGACAATGTGATAGAGTAAATAGAAAAAATAGAATTTTTTGTTTCTTGGCTATCTCTTTGAATTTGTTTCATGAATTCTGCTTGTTTTCTACATTGTTCATTCAAAGTTTCAATCAGTTTCCCATGCTCCTGTATTTTTTTTTCCTATTTATTCCCTAGCTATGTTGAGCAAATCCTTTACTAAGGCTGTTATTTCTGTCCTTACATAAGACATTACTTTTAATTTGATTTCCCCTATAGCCTCAGGGATTTGTTTCTTTACTTTGTTTGCTATCTTTTCAGAGATTTCTGGTGTATGACTTTTAAAGTCCTCCATTTCGCTGTCACCTGTTCTTGCACCTGATGGACTAGATGTTTGAGATTGCATTTTGGTTTTTCATTTTGTCATTTTCACCTTCTGGGCCAATATCTGTTTATTTAATCCCAATGGTCACAACTGTTGGTTGTGTATGTCCCAGGGTCCTACAGTGTGGTTGATATTTGCCCGATTGTTGGGTACATAGTGACCGGAACCTACCAGGGTCCTCTGTCTGAACAAGGGGCCACCAAGTCTCCTGTCAAACCAGCACTGCCAGTCCACTGCAGTTCAAGGGTCTGGGAGGGA